TATAGCTAACGTCTAACCCATCTTCCCGTAAAAAGATGGGTTAGACGTCATCTATATGATTTTACAATAAGAAATGTTAAAAAAACAAACAGTAAATGATGCACTACATAGTTATTCAAAGCACCGAGTTTCATAAAAACGAGGTTGATTTCGAAATAGCACACATGCGTGTACTTGAAATACCGCACAGGTGATCGAAATACCGCGCAGGTGTACGCTATTTCATGGTAATACGATATATACTATATCATCATGTAATAACACCCAGGAGCATTATTTCAGAATACATAGCTTGAATAAAACTAATAATCAATTTTTCCAAATACAAATTATATTTTTTTTATTAAAAGTTTTCATCTAAATTAATTATTATCCTTCTTCAAGCTATATATTCAATAATACCTTGAATGTTATTTTGTGATAATACAGTAATTATGCTATAAAGGTTAACTATAACAAAGAGTTAATTATATCCAAATATTATTCAACTCTATAATGCCACGGAAGTAAACAAGAAATTTATAATTTTAAGAGCAAGAATATTAATAATATAAAACAAAAAGATTTATCTAATGCAAGTAGATATAATGTGATTTATTGTACAATATGCCGATGACAGATATTAATAGATATAAGTTTACAATATTACAACAGACAGTTAAGCTGCATATGCTAATATTAATTTGAGAATATAAAAAATTTTTACCAAATTTGATTAGGTAGTTACTGGAAAATTATTGCAGAAGTTTTGAAAAACTTTCAAATTTATTAATAGAATCAATTTTATTTATTGGCTTTTTCCTTTTTAGGAGTTTGTATTACAAATAATTAAAAGTAATGCGATTCGTCCTGGAATTTGCAAGTTCATTTTTTCCTGTTATTTTTTTTATAATTTTAATTTATTTTTTCTTTGAAATTTCACTATAATTATCTTCACTTATCAAGAGTTCACTATATCTAGAATTTACTATACATATCTAGAGCTCATTATATCAAATGTTCTTGTATTATTTTGGAGTTTACATAAAAAGTGTAGCTTTAAATGTCTTATGATGAGAAAAGAAAATAATACCAAGAAATCAGTAACAATGAGATATAAAATAGGGTGGTTTTTCAATTATATATCACGTCAATTGGAATGGTGTTATTGTTGCACTAACTAAAATTATTCAAAAAGACAAACACAAATGACTTTAAAACAGGGTAATTTATTCATTGTTCTATAGAATTTATTTATTATTCTATAACCCAAAAACTGAGTTGAATATTTTTTCTCTTTTACAGAATTGTTCATACCGAGCATATTGATAGTAAAATTTTCCCAATTTATTCTATACAGAACTTGAGTAAGATTTAATAAGATTTCTTCAAGTCTTAATATGGTCAGGCCCCTATTTACAAGAGTATAATGTTTTCAGTATTTATCCCTGTTAAATTGGCAAACTTGATTCTTGCTATAATAATAATAAAATATGATAAATATCTTATAATATACATCATCAAGCAACACAGCAGGGCCAACACAATATTGTTTTTGAGATTCTATTTTTATAATAATAGAACAAAAAATATCAGTAGTACAAAAAATTTAAATAAATATAATCTGGTTCATGCAAGATGACAGACAGACAGACTAATCTCTAATTAAATAAAAGTATTATACAAAGCAAAAAAAAAAAAGACACTTAATGATAATTTCAACTTTTTAACTAATTAAATATTTCTAACACTCAGGTTATTGGGGTGGTCTGTCAGCTAAGTAAATCAAAACTATGTATGGTATTATAAAAATTTACTATACGAATTTTTTTGATTAGTATAACTATCAATAACATATATTTATATGGGTGTCGACAAGCGAAAACAGGGAATTGTGAGTTTTCCGAAATTATTTTACAAATAAAACCCTGAAAAAATGTGATTTAACACACTATATAATTTATGTCGTGCTTAATTTAAATTTATCAGGAATCAGATCAGAAAGTGGAGCCGGCAAAAATCGAAATTCTCTGTTTTCGCTTGTCAACACCCATATATAACTATATAAAAATTGCTGTATCTTTTTTTTGATGCACAGGTTTCATTCTTCGTTTTTTGCAGCAAGTTTTAACATCAATCGACTCTTTTTTATTCTAGTAACAAAGTTATAGAACCTTTTTTAAATTATATATGGAAAAAAATTTTTTTCTAATTTAATTTATCTATATTTATTGTTTGGATAATCTTGACAAAATTTAAGCTACCAATAATTTTTAAGTAAATATAAAATTTTGCTCTGTAATTTGCATTGTTGAGGCCTTTTATCAATCCACTCAAAATTTGAGCTTCTAATTTTTAGTATTAAAGACCCTGCATCTAAATAATTATCGCATAATTATTGAACTTCATGTATCAAAATAGGGATTTACAAATCAAATAACTGATGATTTCAATTAAAAAATGCCCACCTAAAAAACAATATAAAAAGCAACTATTATCAACCAACAAAGCCAATGAGATAGCATCAACTGTATCAACCAATGAAATAGCATCAACTAACAAAGCCAATGAGATAGCATCAATGGTATCAACTAACAAAGCCAATAAGATGGCATTAACAGCATCAACCAACAAAGCCAATGAGATAGCATTAATGGTATCAACCAACAAAGCCAACGAGATGGCATTAGTGATATCAACTAATGAAATAGCATCAACCAATGAAATAGAAAGCCCACAAAAAATGCAGCTAATTTCAACAGTTCAGAAATTATTTGACAAAGATGCATTGTTAGCAAATAATCTTATCTCTTTAATGAGATATCTGAAAAGTTCAAATAAAGGAGATATTATTTCCTTATACTTTCAAAGTTATTACAAGCATAAATCTGACTATCATACTTTACAAATTTCAAATTTACAACTAGAAAAAAATAACAAAAAATTTATTCAAAAAAATCAACACTTGCCCAAAAAAATCAATCACTTGCTAAACAAACCCAATCTTTGGGAGCACAAACTCAACATCTTCGAAATCAGAAATCAAAACATATTTCTGAAATTCGCTCTCTAATTTAGCATTCAAAACAACTTAGTAATGTAGAATTTCAAAGAAAAATAAAATCTTTGTTTAAAACTAATAAGCATGAATATTCATCAAACACAATATAGCTTGCTGCTAGCTTTTTACAAGTGGGTCAGATGTCTTTACGATCTACAGTTGAATGTATAAACTTAGTTTATGAGTTTTTAGTTGGAGAGCCACCTCAAAATTGGCTTACAAAATCGTGTTTACAAACATGGCATCAAGATATCCAAATTGTTTTTTAACAAACAAATTTATCAATCAGCAATTGTTCCTGTATTTGGAGTTATGGTGGATGAATCCACACATGAACAAATAAAAAATTTTGTCCTTTGTTATCAGTACTGGAATGAGTATGAACAAGCACCTGTAGCAATACTTTCTCAATTAAAAAACATTTCAAGATGTAATGCTGAAACAATATCAGATTTAGTAATTGAAAATATTAAAATAAGTGAATTGGATTTTAACAAATGTTCTTTATAGATGACTGATAATACATCCTATTTATCAGGAAATAAAAAAAGAGCGATAGTTCTTTATAACAAAAAAACTAATTCAAATTCATTGCATATTGGTTGTGAACTTTATATAATACAAATTGTGATGAATTATTTTGAACAAGCAGCATTTGGAACACTTCCTAGCAATACAGGATTTTCACGACAACCACATATTTATAACTTACTTTACTTAGCTTGGAAATTGCATAATGGTTACAATTCAAGTGACAAGGACAAGCCACTCAATATAAATTCACAAATCATTACTAATTTATATGATGGTTTGCTTGGATTTCACTACAATCAATATCAATTACCAATATGCTCACATTGGGGTTATGAGTTACAAACAGCTAAACAATTTTTAGATCATTGCTTAGCACATATTGAATTTGCACAATGGTTCATTAATGAAATAAAAAATTATAAAAATACACCAAAATCATATCTTAATGATTGGATTCTTTTTCAAATATGGCTTCTTGATTTAAAACTTTTTATACAAATAAAGTGTTTAGTTAACTTTGCTAAACATTTTTATGAACCATTAATGCAGTTTTTAATCAGTAAAGATAATGTTACACAAATTTATAAAAATGGACAATTGACTACCTTACCTCCTGGCCAGCGTGCATGTGAAATGCCAGATAAAGTTTATGAATAGCATAAATTTCTCCAAAATCTTACTGAAAACTTTGAAATATTTTTTGCTGATGAACTTCTAGAAGCTATTGATATTGTCTAATGAAGAATTTGAAATATTTTTTAATAATTTGAAGAATGAGTTAAAGCATTAGAATACTTTGAAAAATGGTTTTTACCATGGCTCCATTTACCATTATCAGTTTGCCACCTTGGTGGTAATAATGCTAGATTTTTTGCATCTAGCTTTTACTATATAGTTTTAAAGAAGCCTTGGATTAAATCACCAACAGATCTAGAATTACAATATGCAAGTGAACTTGAAGATGACTTAAATCACGGAATAACTAATACTTTTGAGTTGCAAGAATTGTTATTAAGCGATCATGATTTCATGAAAGAATATGAACAATTCTGCATTAATGATAACTCAAATATATATGATTTTCCTAACCTATATAAT